TGAACATTTTTGCCATCTGTCAGATTTGCTCTAAATGCTTTAGTTTCAGAGATATAAACCAAAAACTGCATTTTACCCCTATGTTCTATTTTTAACCAAGTCGGCCATAATGGTTAGAAGGCGGGGTCATCGGACAAATTTTTTAAACTAAATACCCTAATAATGATTATGGCCAAGTATGGTTAAATTTGTCTCAGTAGTTTCAGAGAAGAAGATTTTTGTAAACGATTACAAAAATTTACGAAAAATTGTTAAAAATTGACTATTAAGGGCAATAACTCCTAAAGGGGTCGACTGACAATTTTGGTCATGACAACTTATTTGTAGATCTTACTTTGCTGAACATTATTGCTGTTTACAGTTTATCTCTATCTATAATAATATTCAAGATAATGACCAAAAACTGCAAAATTTCCTTAAAATTACCAATTCAGGGGCAGCAACCCAACAACGGGTTGTCAGATTTGTCTGAAAGGTTCAGGGCAGATAGATCTTGACCTGATAATCAGTTTTACCCGTGTCAGATTTACTCTAAATGCTTTGGTTTCAGAGATATAAGCCAAAATCTACATTTTACCCCTATCTTCTTTTTTTAGCCAAGGCGGCCGTCTTGGTTGGTTAACGGGGTTATCGGACACATTTTTTAAACTAGATACCCTAATGATGATTGTGGCCAAGTTTGGTTAAATTTGGCCCAGTGGTTTCAGAGGAGAAGATTTTTGTAAAAAGCTAACGACGACGGACGACGATGACGACGACGACGACGACATCAACGACTGACGACGGACGCCAAGTGATGAGAAAAGTTCACTTGGCCCGTTGGGCCCGGTGAGCTAAAAAAGGAAAAAAAGGGGAAAAAAAATCCCTCCCCCAAATTTTTTGAACCCCCTTATGATTCATCACCCCCAAACTCAATCCCAGCCTTCCCTTTGTGGTATGGTACCTTGCAGTACAATTTCAGAGAGATCCATACACTTGAACACAAGTTATTGTCTGGAAACTAGAAAAATGCTTGTTTTTAGGCCCCTTCTTGGCCCCAAATTCCTAAACGTTTAGGGCAATTACCCCAAAACTCAAATCCAGCTTTCCCTTTGTGATATGGAACCTTGTAGTACAATTTCAGAGAGATCCATACACTTAAACACAAGTTATTGTCTGGAAACTAGTAAAATGTGTTTTTTGGCCCCTTTTTGGCCCCAAATTCCTAAACGTTTAGGGCAATTACCCCCAAACTCAAACCCAGCTTTCCCTTTGTGATATGGAACCTTGTAGTACAATTTCAGAAAGATCCATACACTTACACACAAGTTATTGTCCTGAAACTAGAAAAATGCTTGTTTTTGGTCCCTTTTTGGCCCCCAATTCCTAAACGTTTCATCAATTACCCCCAAACTCAATTCCAGCTTTCCCTTTGTGATATGGAACCTTGTAGTACAATTTCAGAAAGATCCATACACTTACACACAAGTTATTGTCATGAAACTAGAAAAATGCTTGTTTTTTGCCCCTTTTTTTGCCCCTAATTCCTAAAATTTTGAGGCAATTACCCCCAAAATCAATCCCAGCATTCCTTTTGTGATATGGATCCTTGTGGTACAATGTCAGAGAGATCCATACACTAACACATAAGTTATGTCTGGAAGTTACAAAAATGCTTATTTTTGGCCCCTTTTTGGCCCCTAATTCCTTTACTGTTAGTACCATAACCCCCAAAATCCCAACCTTCCTTTTGTGGTATTGAACCTTGTGGTAAAATTTCATAGAGATCCATTCACTTAAACTAAAGTTAGAGTGCGAAAACTAATGTGGCTTCGGACGACACAGGACGACACCGGATGACAACGACGACGACGACGCCAACGTCATACCAATATACGACCACAAAATTTTTTTTGCGGTTGTATAAAAACTGCAAAATTTCCTTAAAATTACCAATTCAGGGGTACCAACCTAACAACGGGTTGTCTGATTCGTCTGAAAGTATCAGGGCAGATAGAACTTAACCTGATGAACATTTTTACCATCTGTCAGATTTTCTCTATATGCTTTAGTGTCGGAGATATAAGCCAAAAACTGCATTTTACCCCTATGTTCTATTTTTAGCCATGTCGGCCATCTTGGTCAGCAGGCGGGATCATCAGGCACATTTTTTAAAGTAGATACATCAATGATGATTGTGGCCAAGTTTTATTAAATTTGGCCCAGTAGTTTCAGAGGAGAAGATTTTTTGTAAAAGTTCACAAAAATTTATGAAAAATTGTTAAAAATTGACTATAAAGGGCAATAACTCCTTAAGGGGTCAATTGACCATTTTGGTCTTATTGACTTATTTTTAGATCTCACTTTGCTGTACAGTATTGCTGTTTACAGTTTATCTCTATCTATAATAATATTGAAAATAGTAACCAAAAACTGCAAAAATTTCCTTAAAATTACCAATTCAGGGGGAGCAACCAAACAATGGTTTGTCTGATTTGTCTCTAAATGCTTTAGTTTCAGAGATATAAGTCAAAAACTGCATTTTACCCCTATGTTCTATTTTTAGCCATGTTGGCTATCTTGGTCAGCAGGCGGGATCATCAGACACATTTTTTAAAGTAGATAAATAATGAATGATGGACGATGACAGACAACAGACGCCAAGTGATGAGAAAAGCTAACTTGGCCTTTTAGGCCAGGTGAGCTAATAAAGGGAGTTGTAGTGATCAGGCCTAATTATCAATAGCTGATCCAAAAGGTTCTTTTTGAACTGACAATGATCTTTATTAGTGTTTCACTGTTTTCGCCCTGATCTTACAGCAGCCAGATCACTTAGAATTTATAGACTCTGAGTCATCAAATATATATGGTAGTTTTAAACCAAGGTAATGGAAATTTTTATGACCAAGAATAATTGAAATAGACTGATTAGTTTAAAAGAGAACTTTCTTTTTAATAAATGTGGATAGTGTCCACATGTGGACACAGATGATGCCCCCGCTTGCATATCATATAGTTATAAAGGGACATAACTGAAGAGCGGTAAAAGTGATGCTACCCAAATTTGAACTTGATCTGAGTTTTGTGGTAATAAGCACTGTGTGTAAGTCTCATAACATTTGGTTGAGGCTAACTTAAGTAGAGAACAGAAACTAAAAATTCAGCAATTTTTCTATTTGTAAACACGCATAACTCTAGAACAGTTGTGTATAAGTTTTATAACATTTGGTTGAAACAAACTAAAGTAAGAGAACGGAAACGAAAAATTCAGCAATTTTTATGTTTATAAAGGGACATAACTCAAGAATGGTAAAAGTGTCGCCACCAAATTTCGTACTTAATCTGTATTATGTTGTAATAAGCATTGTGTATGAAGAAAATAAAATTTTTGCAATTTTTCCATTTATAAAGGAGCATAACTCTAGAACGTTGAAAGTGACGCCACCAAAATTCAAACTTGATCTGTGTTTTGTGGTAGTTAGCATTGTGTAGAAGTTTCACAACATTTGGTTGAGGCAAACTTAAGTTACAGAACAGAAACTAAAAATTTTGCAATTTTTCCATTTTTAAAGGGCATAACTCTAGAACGGTTAAAGTGACGCCACCAAAATTCAAACTTAATCTGTGTTTTGTGGTAATAAGCATCGTGTATAAGTTTCATAGCATTTGGTTGATGCAAACTTAAGTAAGAGAACGGAAACTAAAAATTTTGCAATTTTTCCATTTATAAAGGGGCATAACTCTAGAGCGGTTAAAGTGACACCACCAAAATTCAATGTTGATCTGTGTTTTGTGGTAATAAGCATTGTGTATAAGTTTCATAACATAACATTTGGTTGAGGCAAACTCAAGTTAGAGGATGGAAACCAATTTTGGGACGTACATACGTAAGTACAGACGGACAAGGGTAAAACCTAATACCCCCACCGCTACGGCGGGGGCATAATAAGAAAATAAATGTTTATTGTAAAAATAAGGAAATGTGGTATGATTGTCAATTAGACTATAAACCAAGACAAAAGGTAGAGAATGTAAACATCAACAGGACATGTACAGCCTTCAACAATGGCCAAAACCCATACTGTATAGTAAGCTAAAAAAGCATATATTAACACCAGTTGAGAACAAAAGCTCAAATTACACTTTCAGTTATGTATAAACTTTTACATAAACTTTTTTGGTACATGTACAATAGAAAGAATATGTTAGCAACACCTAAAGCCACGACACAAAGTATTACATGTGTTTAAGTCATGTTGATCAAACATAGGATCATATAGAAAATTACGTAGTTTTGATTTGAAACAAGCAGAATAATTTAAAGTTTTAACATCAGTTGGTGAAAAAACAATATGTACACTGTTGGTTTTATGTAGTATCCATCATTCATTCTTGGGTCAACAGTTTTACCTTGTCAAATCTTTCAAGATGGTGATACTGACTAACACTTAATTACACACCAACAGTTAAAGATTTTAGATGCATGATCATTCATACTGTTGTGATATCCTTTAACTTTATAAGGCAAGGGTAAGAATACATATCTGTAATTGTCTTGAAGGGTAGAAGTATTATTGGTAAGTATATGAGCATCATATGCTAACAGATTTTTCAGTGTTCCTTGATCTTTTTACTTTTGTAGGATGATGGGACAGCTATATTGAAGTTGTCAAAAATAAATACAAGAAAGCAAAATGTAAAAAGTAGGTCACAATGACTTATTTTTTACTAGATGCTCACTTCGTCACAAAGGTTTGTGTACATCCTCTTGCACATGAGAAGCTTGATCAAACAAACCAAAGATTTTGGTCAATGGACAATAGTCATATTATTGTACCATGGGGATATATCAAGTAAAAAGATGAGATACTAGTTAGAAATATTACCTGGTGAAATAGAGAGAGTGACATGTATATTCCTTATTTTAATGATAGATTGAATGCTTAACATCCAGTTTTAAATATTCCTCATTTTATTAAAGGCAGAGAGGCTTTTCCCATTTGAACAACAAAAGCCTTATATCAATTTAAGAAACATGTAATGATGTATTTTATTTAAAATTGCAGCAATGATAGCACATTAAAATGAATGACATATGTAACATGATCTTGGATGATAGCGATAAAATGAAAATACGTTCTAGCATCAATATTGATTTTTGAAATACATTCGGCTACTTCTAAACCAGAACACTTTTTGGACCTGGTCACTGGTTAATTGTACTCTTGATTTTCTGGAGATCAATCTTGGATACACTTATTTTTCCTCTCAATTGTTATAAGGTATTGATTTTCCTGATTTGACATTACAATATTTCATCCATCTCAGTCCCAGTATTTTATCACACCATCCCATCCACATGATGCCACTTTTGAGGTTTCGTGAGGATGCCATAACACAGTGGCACACACATCATCGTGAGCTTTGAATTTTGTATAAAGTTTAGTTGTTTTCCAGTCCCATACATAAAGTTTTCCATCTGCATCTCCTGATATCACATAACTGAAATAACAAAAAAATCATATATAGATTTGAAACATTTCACTCAAACAGGTGCTATTGGCTGTCTTGAATTTGTTTTGAAATGTGGTCTTTTTTTACCTGTAGAAGGCCTCATCCTGACTTTGAGATTAAAACAGTAGTACAGATGCTGTTCCTTTGCTTTGGTTTTGTCAAGTGCATGTAGTGATCATTTTTATGATGGTTAGAGAGTATGTGCAGTCTCTTTTTCAACTTAATGCCAATAATTGTGCAGGAAAATTAATTTTTATTCCATTAACATCTTGTTGAGATTTGGGATGATTAAAGATGAACATATGGAACCAATATTTGTCTATTTTTGGAGACCTTATGATGACCCTTACATATCTTTGTTGTTTTAATCTTTTGTTGTGTTGCTGTCATGTTGACTTATATGCCATATCTGCTTTTTATATGTAATTTAATATTCCTGTTTCACTTTGTGTATAAAATACAAAATAATAGTTTTTTTGTACATTTTTTGTAAAGGCGTAATCAGATGGAACCAAACTTTTTGTCAATTTTTTCTAACGTTTTCATATAAGAAAAATAAAATGCTTTCAGTGTGATACAACAGCAGAGGTCGAACCCTGAACAGTTGGGGCAAATTTGGACACAATATTCAAGCTTGATACTGTCTGAATTTGGATTGTGATCAAATTTTTTGACATAATATAGGTTTCTGACACAAAATAAATGTGGTCAAAGATCTTATAAATCCATTGCGCAATACTGTGCAATTGAAGATTTCTTCTTGAAACTTTTCAAAAATTCGAAATTTAAAAAATTTTGAAAAAAAAATATGAATCCCTTAAAAAAATTTGGAAAAAAATCCCCCCCCCCCAACTTTTTGAAACCCCCCTTGGAGCAATAACCCCAAAACTCAATCCCAGCCTTTCCTTTGTAGTATGGAACCTTGTAGTACAATTTCAGAGAGATCCATACACTTACACACACACAAGTTATTGTCCGGAAACTAGAAAAATGCTTGTTTTTGGCCCTTTTTTGGCCCCTAATTCCTACATGTTTGGGGCAATTAACCCCTAACTCAATCCCAGCCTTCCCTTTGTTATATGGAACCTTGTGGTACAATGTCAGAGAGATCCATACACTTACACACAAGTTATTGTCTGGAAACTAGAAAAATGCTTGTTTTTGGCCCTTAATTCCTAAACTGTTGGCCCCATAACCCCTAAAATGAATCCCAACCTTCTACTTGTGGTATTAAACATTGTGGTACAATTTCAGAGCAATCGAAATACTTATACACAAGTTATTATCCTGAAACTAGAAAAATGCTTGTTTTGGGCCCCTAATTCCTAAACGGTTGGGACCATCATCCCCAAAATCAATCCCAACCTTCCTTTTGTGGTATTGAACCTTCTTAAAAAATTTCATAGAGATCCATTCACTTAAACTAAAGTTATTGTCCGGTGTCTTCGGACAACGACGCAGACGACGACGACATCATACCATTATACGATCCCAAAAAATTTTTTGCGGTCGTATAATAAATGATTTTTAGCAGACAATGGTATTTTTTTATTTTAATTAGGAAGGCCATATATTTGCTCAAATTGTAGCAACTCTGCTTCATGCCATTCAAAGTAAAATATTTATTAGAAATGACCTACCAATGAAAAAAAAAACAAAGCTGTAGTAATAATTTCTTGATCATTTCACACTTGCAGCATGTTCAAATATTCTATATTAAGTCATACCTCATATCTGGTGAAAAATCTGGCTGACAAGCATAACCTGCTACCTGTAAAGACACATGACATAATTTATTAATAAGCTTTTGACACTGATATGTTTCACCTGTATGTATTGATTGATTGGTATTTAACATTACTTTCAGGACTACTATGCTATTTCATGGCACTCAGTTTTTATTGGTAGAGGAACCTTCCGTAGGAACACTGACAATCCTAGTCAATTAAGATTGGAGTTGAGCGCACCTGCCACATGTGGGATTCGAACTCACAACATCAGTGTTGACAGGCTAGTGATACAGTAGTTCGACTACCTATACCACTCGGTCACCGAGGCCCCCAAATGTATGTAGTTGTGATATTAAAATGCAAATGTTGAAATTGAAATGGCATTACTGTAATATGTAAACTATGCAAATCATTCACAGCCAATTAACCATGACTGAAGATGTAGGCCCAAATAATCTCTGTGGAAATGAGATATGCCAATGCTAATACAACTTGCATACCAAAATACCACTGTCTTTTTATAAGTTGTTCCCCTTAAACTGACATAATCACAAACATTAACCATTACTGTGAGGACAAGCCAGATAATGAGATCTGCCAATGCAAATTAACAAATGACTTTTTTATTTTCATTAATTTAAATTGCATTCAAGAATTTTTTTTTTTAATCCAAACATAAATACATGTTATACCAATTTTTGTTTGCTGCATTTTGAAACAAGATGTTTGGTAGAGTAACTGTTATATTAAAAGTCAAATAAATTCAAAAATGTAAAATCTTTTTTGTTGTATTGTTATAGTCATACAAATCAAAACAAACATGTAAATGTTATAAATTAGTTTGCAACAAATACATACCATATGACCAGTAAAAAGTTTCTTTCTCATATATTTAAATCTGTTCAGTACATTAAATATACAGATCTTATTGTCCATAGATTGGCATGCTAACCATTTTCCTATAAAAATAAGTCAATGAAAATAATTAATTTATGCAAGTTGTTTTTGGAAGTGAAAATAGATCCCAAATCTGTAACAAAAACAGGCATTTAAAAATTCCACCAATCTCTTGTCTAAAATCTTTTATTCATGTTCCGCTGTTGTTTTGGTTTAAAGGTAAGCTGTTGTGTTGGTTACTAGTAAGCTGTTGTATTGGTTAATAGTAAGCTGTTGTATTGTAGTAAGCTGTTGTGTAGGTTATAGGCAGGTTATATCAGTACCACTTCAAAAAGCACTAGAAATTCTAAAGACTTTTGATTCATTTTCATTTTACAAATTTCCTACAGCAAGTAAGCAACAAGAATTCAAAAAACCTAACTGGGACTTTTGGTTTATTGCTTGATCTACATTCAGAGAGCTAAATCATCACTGATTTTTATACGCCCGTCAAATTTTTGACGGGACATATTATGGTATACAAATGTCCGGCGTCCGTCTGTCTGTCCGTCTGTCTGTCCGGCGTAAACATGTTGCACCGTAACTTGAGAATGACTTATCCAAATTTCATGAAACTTAACATAGTTGTTTCTTATGATGGTCAAACGATCTGTATACTTTTTGGTGAAAATAAGATTAAAACTTTTTGAGTTACGGGACTTAGTAACTAAAACAGGTGTGTGTTTTTTTCACATGTCGCGCCTTATCTCAAAAACAATTTTTGATTATTGCTTAAAACTTTACACACTTCTTAGTTATATTAATCTTAAGATCTGTATACTTTTTGGTGATGATTCAAAATTTTATTTTAGAGATATTGAGTATTTTGTTAAAAAAGGGGGAGGGGTTTTTCACATGTCGCGCCGTATCTCGAAACAGTTTATGATTATTGCTTAAAACTTTACACACTTCTTAGTAATATTAACCTTAAGATATGTATACTTTTTGGTGATGATTCAAAATTTTATTTTTGAGTTGTTGAGTATTTTGTAAAAAAAGGGGGAGGGGTTTTTCACATGTTGCGCCGTATCTCAAAAACGATTTATGATTATTGCTTAAAATTTTACACACTTCTAAGTTATATTAATCTAAAGATCTGTATACTTTTTGGTTTTGATTCAAAATTTTATTTTTGAGATATTGATTTATTTTTTTTTTAAAGGGGGGGTTTTCACATGTCGCGCCGTATCTCAAAAACGATTTATGATTATTGCTTAAAATTTTACACACTTCTTAGTTATATTAATCTAAAGATCTGTATACTTTTTGGTTTTGATTCAAAATTTTATTTTAGAGATATTGAGTATTTTGTAAAAAAAAAAGGGGGTTTTCGCATGTCACGCTGTATGTCAGAAACTATTTATGCTTATTGCATAAAAATTCACACACAAGACGACGGGCGTATCATGCGCTCATGGCGGAGCTGTTTATTTTACCATATCCTATAATTTTTGTGTGCATTTATTATTGTGATTGTTATTCAATGGACAAAAATGTGTGATTAATCATTGTGATTTCAAGAAATGCTGCATACAAATGCTGCTATCTTAATTATAAATGTGGGGTCGCTATAATAATAAAAGAACAGAAAGAACAGAGTTCTAATGTCCCCTGTGTTGCACAAATTAGTGTGTCCAAGGGAAATAACTTTAAAAACTTTTTCTTTGGTTTTTTCAAAACTTTTTCTTAATATATATTACAGAAATGAAGACTTGAGAAAGCTTACTATGCAGTTTTCAATAAAATATTTTCAAGGGCAAGAATTGTACACATGAGAGCACTTACAATGCAACTTTCTATATAACTAAAATTGTAAGGGACATAACTCTTTTTAATAAATGGGGAATGTGTCTATGGGACACAAATGATGCCCCCGCTTGCATATAAGTTATAACGTTATAATGGGACATCACTCAAGAACTGTAACAGTGATGCTACCCAAATTTGTACTTGACCTGAGTTTTGTGGTAATAAGCATTGTGTATATGTTTCATAACATTTAGTTAAGGCAAACTTTAGTTAGAGAACGGAAACGAAAAATTCAGCAATTTTTCCATTTGTAAAGGGGGCATAATTCTAGAACTGTAAAAGTGACGCCTCCAAAATTTGAACTCGACCTGTGTTCTGTGGTAATTAGCATTGTGCATACGTTTCATAACATTTGGTTCAGGCAAACTAAAGTTAGAGAACAGAAACCAAAAATTCAGCAATTTTTCCACTTGTAAAAGGGCATAACTCTAGAACGGTAAAAGTGAAACCACCAAAATTCAAACTTGATCTGTGTTTTGTGGTAATAGCATTGTGTATAAGTTTCATAACATTTGTTTGAGGCAAACTAAAGTTAGAGCACAGAAACCAATTTTGGGACGTACGTGACGTACATACGTACTGTACGAACGGACGGACGGACAAGGGTAAAACTTAATGCCCCCTCCGCTACGGCGGGGGCATAAAAATAATTTATCAGCACTGATTTTCAAACTTGTCCAAGAGTTTGCTGATATAAACCTATGGTATAAAGTTTTATTAAATCTGGCAAGAATTGTAAACATGAAAGCGCTAACAAGACCGGATGAACAGACAAACTGATGAACAGCCTGTATTTCTATGTCCCCCAACATAATGCTTTGTGGAGACATTTAATAAATTTGATGCATCTGAAGCACTTTTTTCTGATTGACCTTCATTAGGAACTCTCACTCTAAAAATTGTGAGAGCAATGGATGTATAAATACCTGCATGCTTAAATGTCTAAATAGGACCTAAAATGAATGAGTTAAAAAACATCTTATGCTTGAAATATTATGAACTACTAAATGGTATCAAAGCAATTTTACATAAAATAGATGCCTTATTTTTGAAGGAAATAGGAATAACTATTTTTTTTCCATCTTACCATTTGGTGACAATTTAATTGCAGGCATAGAATGCATAGAAGGATCAGCAATGTATTTAAAATCCACAGGAATTCCCCTGGAATAAAAAAAGTTAGTTCAAATGTACATATTTCAATATAAATTAAATTTGTGATGATTAATTCTTGTTGCACACATTTATTGAATATCAGAATTCATTTTTTCCTAAACAAAACTACGATGATGGACTGCTGTCGAATATAACATGCATATTAGGACGTACTAGCCCAAAAAAAGGCTGATATAGATTTTTAAAGTGCTAGTTCACATGCATGGCAATTGTCTGTAGGAAGATATTTCAAACTTATCTGACACACATTCTGATTGTAAGCCGACCACTCTTTGTTCTTACTCATAAATGCTGCTTGCTTTGCAGATAAGCAACTAACACTTAATTTCAAGATGTATGTTACCATTTAGAAGTCTTGATATAATTTATGTTACTGATTTGCTCTCTTTTTGATATATTTCCATATCCTTTTTTCATAGTTTCTTGTCATTTTTATCAAATTTAAGAAATATTTTCACATAAATAATGTAATCGCTTAAATATAAGCTGTTTTCAGACAAAATATACACCTTTGCTATTAACAGAAGAAAACTATTTTCACATACCATTCCCATATTCTCATACTTTTGTCGTCAGATGTTGACACAAATCTTCTGTTCTGATCTACAAATTCTAAAGCATTTACTGCACCTAAATGTCTGTCGTATTCCTGAACTATTTCACCTGACCTTATATCCCACTAAAAATCAATAAATACATATTTGACATTGGCAATATTAAAATAATCTTTAAGAAAAATATAATAATCAATTAATTTGAAAATGTAACAAGAATACATTGATGTGCTAAGCATACCAAATTCAGTATTCAAAGTCCTGGAATCAAGGAATATATGTCTGACAGATCCAAAAGTGCACAAATATTACAACTCATCACAGTCAAGCTGCTGACCATATATAAAATCATTCTGTTCTGTAGTATTGTGAGAATTGTGTGACTAAAGTTAAAGATGGGTCTAAAAGTAGATGTGTATGTGATGTTGCATATGGACGGACATCAGCATGCAGCTTTAAAAAATTTCTGCGCAAAAATAAGCAAATTTTTCAAAATGTGTAGTGGATTTTATAATTATATGTGGATTAACTTATTTTCATGCATTTTGTGAGGTCAAGATGAACAATGCATTATTGTCATAAACAATTTGAAATTTCTAAAGGCCTGTTTGCAGAATTGTCAAAACGACCAAATTAAGTATCTACGAACAAAAATTTGTACTCGAACAACAAAAAGTAGTAACAGATGGACAAGGTGAGTGCAATAAAGCCCCAACTTCTACTCCTATTTATTAATTTATGTTGTTTATAGAGGAAAAAAGAACTTACACAGATAATTTTCTTGTCTGAAGTACCAGCCACAAACAAATGTTGTTTATCTTCATCTGGATTGAACCTTATACAATAAGGCACTTTCTTACTGGTAAATCTTGCCTTACACTCCCCTGTAAATGCAGTAACCCATTAATAGTATATATATCATCATGATCATACCCTATCATCATTTTTGTAAATCCACAATAAAGGAAAGATTTGGTAGACCTGCTATCAATTTCATGTCCTTTAAAATAAATGAATTGAATTATAATGTACAGCTGTTAAGATTCCAACCTTATTGATTAATTGATTATTGCTTGCTTAATGCCCATCTCCAATTATTTCATGCATATTCAAGATGATAAATGATATCGAGGACAAGAACATGATGTGGTATCAATGTGTATCCAGTTTAGTACTAGAATGTCTGAGATGATGTGACAGACCTTTAATGCAGTAGTTTTACAAGGTCACCTGTCAAATGAAGACACGTTACCCTGCCTGAACATCATTTTGCTTCTGTGAGCTATAAACAAATTTTCCTCTTATTTGAAAATTTCACATGCTCAGTGGAGCTTTAACATACCTTTATATCAATATTATCTACTCCTGAGGAGCATCACCAAGGTGTACTTTCTTATGCCTTTTAAAGTGCCTATTGTTGTTCAGGCTCATTTTACAGGTGAAAGCATCATTGTGTTAATTTAAATTTTTTTGTTCGTCTTTGCAGTTTCAATATTTAATTCAAATTTAAAATTGGTCTTTGACTTTTACATTGATTAATTGTTGCATGCTTAACCTCAAATGGAAATTATTTCATGCTAACTTTTACATGTTTTATATAAAAATAAGAAGATGTGGTATGGTTGTAATGAGACAACTCTCCACCAGAGACCAAATGACATAGAAGTTAAAAATTATAGGTCACCGTACGGCCTTCAACAATGAGCATAACCCATACATTTGTTTATTTCAAGTCTCATTTCTTTATATTTCTTTTATGAATTATCAGTTCTTTCTTTCCTAAAGGATTTATTATTGATACCTATTTTTTTTATAAATATTGTGTGCTTTGCTTGATTCTCAACTTTTATATATTGCCAAAATATCATTTGAGAACTGTGACTCATATAATATGATACTTCAACGATCTAAACACTGACTTTTAAATATCTAAAAAGCCCAATAATTTCAGATATAATCTCGAGCCCAAAGCATACTTGCATTTGACTAATACTTCACAATACCATACCTGTTTCAGTATCCCAAAGTTTACAGAATCTGTCATAAGCACAGCTAAGGAATTCTGTACCTGAGTTATTAAAACATGCATCACGAACAGCCTGTTTATGTCCGCTGTAAGTTCTGACTAGTCTACGATCATTATATACTTCCCAAATCTGAAAAATGTTAATATTAAGACTAGATAATTTGTGAATGATTTCAACAGTAAGGACCAAATATCTAACATAAACATATCTTTACTTGTAGTTGCTCATAACTTTTTCGTTTAATCTTTTGTGGGCATTTGTCTCATTGGCAAACATACCAAATCTCCCTATTTGCAGTTTTTGTGCATTCAAAACAGAAAATCTCTTATACAATAAAATGAAGGACTGAAATGCCAACCTCTTTTGTTGTGATCAGTAAACAAAAATTTTGAGCTGTATATGGTGATTTTGACTATTTATTAGAATAAAATTTGCTATGAAAAAATGAAAATTTTGAGCTGTATATGGTGATTTTGACTATTTATTATACATGAACTGTTAAGAATAAAACAAGAGTTATCTCCACTTAAAAAAATCCAAAGCCACATGAACATACTGCTACTTGATATTTTATTTCATTAAAAATTTTAATTTTTACATGATAGTTCAATGGAGAAATGCGTCAAATGAATGTTCTAAGGGAATACTTCCAAACTGGGAATTTGTAAAAAATCTAAACAACTGAACATGTCTATTGGGAACTAATTTTTATGAGTAACCATGGTAACTTCACATAAGTAAATGTGCTCTAATACATTTACATTATTTATACTTGAGATTGTATTTAGAACTATGAAGTTAAGTTTGACTGTTGGCCAGGTCTGTAATAAATATCAGTGTTAGCCTTTTTACTTATAAAATAGATGTGTAGAATATTCCTGCAATAGTTATTACCAAACAAATTAAGAGACTAATTATAAAAGGATAACTAGAAACCCTGTTTGACAAGTTTGTTTCTATATTTAGAACAGCTAATAAAGAATTCATGGTTCACCGAACATACAAGCAAATTGAACTTTCATGAGCGGTTACACATCTGAATACTATGGATTCATTATAATTCGAAGAGCGCCATTTTGTTTGGTGTGGATTTCAAGGGTATAGGTGAATATTGAAATTATATAAAGCTTTTATCAAAATACAAATTTCCTATGAACTTGTATGCTGTGTGTGCTAAAACCACAAAATCAAGTACTTTTTTGAATCCACAAAAATACAACTTTTCATCCATCCATGCAAAAAAAACGAATCCACAGCAGTTCAGCAGTAAAGGTATTATTACAGTAAAATCACTTACCTTTAATTTTGAATCCATACCACATGATAAAATTAAATGACCAGATCTGGGGAACCATTTTATGGTAGCTACACCCTTTGTATGCCCTGTCCAGGTGTGGATTAATTTCTTTGGCAAAAAACATTTTTCTGGTGGTTCGTCTGATTTTAGATTTATACCAACGTCCTGTGGTGGACATAAGAATGATCTCCCTTGGTAGTCGTAGGCATCTTTAACTATAAATAAAAATAATACAAAAAGATTAAGCCTAAAATTTATCTAAATTTAGAATAATACAATTTTGTATTCCAAAAGTTTATATTTCGTGGAGAGTTATTTTTATTGGTACCAAACCTGTTTTTTTTTACTGCCAAAGATTACATGCTGTTTGCTTTGCAAACGCTGTCATTTTATGGAATTTTTTTAATTGTTTCAAGGAGTTTCTATTGCCAAAGCTAATGTTATGTGTAGTGTTCTTTTTGTAAATTTATTTTCATTAATAATTTCTATTATTTTTAAGCAGTGTTTTTTTCGCCAAATATTTTATCTAATTTGTACAGCCATCATATTTTATGAATTATTTTTTTTTTATCAAATTCAATCATTTTAAAGATTTACACAACCAATGTTATGTATTTTAAAGTTTGTACTACCAACGAAATTGTTTTGATTAGTTTTTAATGTCATATTAGATGTTTGTGTGGGTGTGGGAGGTTTCTTGCCAATTTATTTTGTGGAGTTTGAATTGTTAAAGTGCCAATAAGTTCCTTTTGTAAGCGTTTGAACAGCCATTGGTTATATCAACTTATATTTTGTTTAATGCTTTCTTTACCACAGGTTTATAAAACAGTTTTGAAGCTTATAGAGTCAATACTTTCTTTCAAGTTATCTTTTTATATTTTTCTTACATGTCTATAGCAGCTTTTTGTTGTGTCAGGCTTGTTTTATTGTCAGCAAATTCAGCATTATTGTATTTATTCATATAATATTTAACATCAACGAGAATTGTGTAAATTGTTGTTCTGTTACACAATAAATATAAAAAACAAGTAAAAACATGAATATAGAAAAAATTGTGAATTGATAACAGTATTTTGGAATTTTTAGAATGATTTTGTTTGTTCTGTTTTTAGGCCTTTAAGGTTTTACAATATTATTTAAAATATCCATATGTAAAAAAAGTACTATGCATGCTTAAATATTGTAATAGTAATGTGCTGTCTAAGCTGTCAATTTTTATTCAAAAGGTAGAAAAGATGCTTGTCTAATTTAAAACTGTAATAAACAAAGACTTATTTCTGAAGATGTATAATTCAACAATGTATATTATTATACCTCAGTATGTTTTTTCTATATAAAAAATAATGAAATAGTTGTGCTATTTCATTCCACAGACTATTTGCTAGTCAATAGTTTCAAAGACTATTACCCCGGTTAATAGTTTCATAATCATCTTTCCCGTACTTTTTCATGCTTATTTTTCATTGGACAATAATGATGTCATTGACTATTTTGCTTGGCAACGTCAAACTCTAATATTGTAAACGGTATAATTTGTTTGTGTCGATTGTAATTTCACTTACAAGAAGCAATTATAAAAGAGAGAAAATCTTTGCGCGCATTTTTTAAAGATCTAAAATATAGTACCTTATTCATAATATGGGTTCGGTCGTCGTATTCTAAAAGCGAATTTGCGTTTGGTGTACTTTAGCTTAAATTTATCATATGCACAGAAAATTTAACACAAGTATTTCTAGTCTTGATTGCAATTAATGAAATATTTACAAATACAAGAAGAACTATAAAAAAACGTATAGTTCATCTTGTGCATGTCAAGTTATGTGACATTTTTTTCTTTTCTTTCATATGATATATGTACACTTTTAGAAAATTAGTTAATTTGGTATATAAAAACACTTAATGACTGTGTTGTTCAGTATAATAAAACACCTAATGACTGGTTGTGTGGGTAATAGCAAGTTTGTAGTCCCTTCGCATACCAACTATTGCTCTCGGCTTTGCCTCGAGCAATAGTTGGTATCTCAGGGACAACAAACTTGCTATTACCCTCACACCCAGTCAATAGGTGTATACTGTTTGTATTATGAACTATGTTGTAATTAATATTGTGTATAATATGCTCCTGTTAAGCAGTCTTCTGCGGCTGAGTTTTCTTTAATAAACTATGAAACTATGAACAATTTGGCTTTCCAAATTTTTAATCATGAGTGTACCAATGAAAGTTGTTCCAGAAACATTGTGTTGTGTACACAAACACCATAATAATGTATTTTTTATTCTGTAGAAATAAGTATATATACCATGAAGAGTTGTCTTCTCCTCAGACGGTTTTTCTTCAGTCTGTTTTCCTGTTTTACTTCTCTTTGCGAGTATTTCATCAAGTTCCTTCTTTTCTTCCTATAAATAAATGTCAATAAAATTTTAATATTGGTCCAATGGCTTACAAACAAAAAACATGAATGAAAAAAATTATAAATATAATACTACAATTATATTTATGTTACATATATATTCAAATATATTTTCACAACTCCCTATCCTCAGTCTAAGTGACATTTTTTTTAAATGGAGCCCAATTTGTAGTTATTCTAATTTTGTTTCAGGATTAAAAATTCATTGTAATTTATGTAAATAATTAATGTTATCAGATATATTTTCAATAAATAAAAATCTGTTCTTCAAAAAGAAAGGGTTTTAAGCAAACTAATTTAAAGTGAATTATTAATAAGCATAACTATATATAGACATGTTTGGCCATGCTTCAGGAGCCTGTCATTCAGTGGTTGTCTTTGGTTCATGTCTGTCATATTTGTTTTTTTTTGTTAATTGTTTTGTTATAAGTTAGGCCGTTAGTTTTCTCAATTGAAATGTTTCATATTTTTCACGTCGGGGTCTTTTATAGCCGACTATACAATCAGGGTTTTCTCATTGTTGAAGGCCGTATGGTTGCCTGTAATTGCTTACATCCACTTTATTTGAACAAATGGTGGATTGTTGTCTCATTGGCAATCATACCTCATCTTCTTATTTTTATATTTATGTTTCAAAATTAAGTCAACAATTTAATCATGTCGGATTTACTTTTGAAACATTTGTCCCATAATATTTGTTAGGGTCTCTAAAAGATCAATGAAATTCCTAACCTTTCTTCGGCAAAAATTTTTTTTTAGAAGCCATTCCTTCAGGCCAAGTGAGCTAAAAATAGTCACATATTATATATGTTTTGTTTGTACCTCATTTGGTTTCATTACAGTTTTCTCATCCACAAACTTGCCCCATGGACCCAAATACCCCTCTATGTCTGAAGAATCATCATTTCTCTGCCTCTTTCTCTTGTCCTCAGGCCTCTTTTGCGTCAGTTCAAAAACTGTTTTACCTATCAAATATAAAGACATACAATGTACAGTTTAGTTACAAATAACATCTTTCACTTCTTGTGTTAATAAGACAGACATAAAAAATTCGGGCACCACTGTACAAGTTCAAGTTCATATTGTAAGCTTTTATTCAAATTTCAACTACCTAGCTTAAGAAATTATGGTGATTCTAATTATACTTTTAAAATTGTGAAAATGAACTATTATTTTAAGCGGATGTTAAATTGCCAAAATTTAAGAAAACATACAAAGTTCCAGTATTCTCTGTCTTTTGGAAGCTGAGATTATCCTGAACATTATGTACATGCATATGTACAAATTTAAAAAACTTTGATGGTCTCTGTTCATTCATAACATTTTTTCTTAACTTAGGACAATTTAGAGATCAACATATGTTGATTGTTGAGGACTGCATGTTTAACTCTAAATGTCTTCAATTTTTTGGTCTCATCTGGTTGCTGTTACATTTGTGTATATCTCAAATCTTGTGATATTCATTGCAAATCATTATCTGCACAATTTTGTTTCTTATCAGTAATGTATTTCACTTTATATAATTTTCTGTACAAATCACCTCAGCCTATTCCCATTTTCTAAAGGTTAGAATCTTACGCTATTAAATGACAAATGGCAATTATCTATAATTATAATAAAAAAGTTTGTCAACTAGTTGCAAAAGTACAAAGTTTTAACCAGTCTACCATGGTCTAACTCTTCCCCCCAAAAACTAAATGCCATGAAATACAAAAATGTACGAGAATTCATGAAACAAACAATGGGTTGTTTGTTGCTGTTTGTCTTTGTCTGTATATCTTGTTAATTGGTGGTTGATGTGGTCTGTTGTACTATTCAGTATTACTGGTGATTCCTGTTAGCCTTTTTATGTTTAATCAATAAAATCAAAAGGCTTATTTTGATATATAAAGAGATCATCAAGTTTGAGATATGCAATGAAGAGGAATCCACGGTAATACACGAGATTTACTACTTGTCATTTTATATGTTTTTTCTGATAGCTCTCAATTTTATAAAATTGATGGATAATTCTAATGCCATCCTGAATTTTTATTTAACATTTGTAGATGTTTAGTTGTAATTGTATGCCTCTTTAACACATTTCTTTCTGCAAGTAATGCACCAAGACACCTGTTTACCTTCATATGCTGGTGGCAAGGTACATTTCACTTATTATTCCTTTTTTTACTGAACATATTGTAACAATTCAATGCGATCTTTCATGTAGGATGCTTCTGAAAATAGCAGAAATTGAATAAGATTTTTATTGAAGTACAAATAAAGTAGATACATCCCATATTACTTCAATCCTACCTTTGTTGTCATCTGATTTAGAAGAATCCCCAACCAGTTTTGGTTCTGCTATGACATTATCTACAGATGGATCAATGGCATATCCTGCAAAATAATATAAAGCTTTTAAGTTACCATGGACAAATTTTTAAAGAAAGGACATAAACCACTGACAAGTTCCTTGTCCTTTTTCTTTTATCTATAATCAAGGCTCTGTGCTCTAATTAAAAAAAAATTAGCCATGGGAGGAAATTATGAAATTCAAAGTTGTTTCCATCGTTGGAAAAGAGTACAAGTTTTTCTTCCATTTTAAATGTCACAGGGGGAAACAGCTTGAAATGTATAGTCTAATAGTCGTAAGATCAAAAATAAATCTCTGATGCAGCAGACGTAATACCCTGATGTGCTTTTGTCTGCATGCATAAGCAAATATTTGAATGTTACCTTACCATAACTAGTGAATGTCTTTCTCTGGTTATCAAACTGAAAGTCACTGATATGGGCAGGCTCTGCAAATCCTGACATCATGTTCCTAGGGGCCAACATCTGTTGTGTTTTAAAGGGATTATTGGGACCAATCTGAAAAAAAGAACAATTTAAAAAAAATACAATACTCTGAGATTTCTTATTCAAAGTAAAAGAGTGGTCTATGTAGTGATTGAATGCAACTTTGACCTTAGACAATTTGGTTGTTCTGTTTTATAATACATCCTTTCCATTTTTATTTTCCTAACCAAACTTTTGCCCTCTGGAGTACATGATGAAGGTAATCATTTCAGATTGATACACCAATATGTTGACTGTCAAATGTAGGAATAAAAGGAGATGTAGGGAACCTGTCAATGAGACAACAAACAAACAACACAATAACACCAGAAAATAGATTGATTGTTGGTTGCTTAACATCCATTGGCAACTATTTCATGCATGTTCAGGACGACAGAAAATAGACATCATGAGATCAACTGAATGTAAATTCAGAAATAAGTGTGTGAATTTATTAGGGGATTTTTGAAAAATAGACAAAAATGTGAGATTAATTTATCTTGGTGTGAAGAAAAGGACAAATTAATAGACACTCAGTTTTGGTATAGGCCAGGCAAATCTACCATAGATGCCATATTTGTTCTCCACATTGTTATATCACATGTTATTCAACAAAAATTATACTGCGCATTTGTGGACTTTCGTAAGGTGTTTGATAAACTCAGAGGAAGAATCCTTACATACAAATTATTACCAAATGGAGTAAGCGCTAAATTTGTAGCTATGGTGAAATATAAATATTAGTCTGTGCAACTTCATGTTAAATCTGGAGGTTTGCTGTCCAATTCTTTTGAAAATCTGCTCGGTGTGAAACAAGGAGAACTGTTATCTCCTCTGTTATTTTTATTTTTCATAAATGATATAGTCAATGATTTATCTATTGATACAACTGATGATGTCACTGCAAACAAGTATTTCAGGGCCTAATCTATGATTTTTGAGAGGGAGAAGTGACTTCTCCTCCCATGAGAGAGTTGGGAGAAGTGGTCAATTTCTTGGAGAAGTGAAATTCCATTACCGTTTCGTTTGCATAGTGTTTTCGTGCACATCATTCAGGGACACATGTTTTATTTATAAAAAATAAAAATTTTACTTGCAGTGTTGTATATGATTATAATATTGTATAAAATGTATGAATTGAAAATTCTTAATAAAAAGGTTTAGACAATGTAGTTGTTATTTATTCATTCAACCTTTTGTGCTGTCAATTTGAAATTTATTTTGTTGCTTGCCTAGTAATATTATAATGCATTAATCCCATGTGCATCTGCTTGAATTTTCAATAGTCCAGAAAAATATGATTCCCAGTTTATGTGATGACTTTTTAATGACTGGGCAATTTAATGTTTATCTTTTGTAAAATATTGACTGTCTAGGACATCATGTCAGTTGTAACTTGAGAATCTCGTGAAAGATTGTAAGCCTATATATAAATAAAAATATTTATCAATCACATTTTAATCAATAGATACAGAGCTAATTTTTATCATTTTGTTACAAAAAATATCTCCCTCATTAACAAATTGGTCGTGAAAAACCCACTGCTGATCACAAGCTGGCCATGTGTTGTACGTTATATTACTCTTTGCAACCAACTTATCCATTAGCTGTCTTTCTACCTTTTATATTTCAATTTTTAATCAAAGAATATAAAAAATCTGCCATTCACTCCCACCCTTAACCTACCGAATAGTAAAATAGATTGTCAGAAACAGATAAATAAAAAGAAAACAAAATCAGCTGAGCGATTACGCAACATCCTCAGATGAAAATCATTGTAAAGTGATAACTCAAACAGACGCTCTGTTTCTCGTTTCAATAGTTTTGAATGTTAAATCCATGGATGTTCAAAGTCGGCGTTGTATTTATTTCATTTAAACGTCGACAGTATTAGTCCTGGGTCGTTTCGAAAATTTCAATTTTCCTTGTCGGTCGCCATATTTGTTTGGTTTTGTTAACCTGTGAGACTTGCAAAAATTCAAGTTGTCTTCCTTTTACCGATTTTGATAGCGATTTGACTTCGCCATGCAGTCAGTCGGACGGTGAGTGTTAGCGATTTTCTAAATTCCTTGGCGATTTAAATCGTCAATTCCCCGTCAAGATTATGGCCTGTATTTGATATACCTCATTTATTTGCAGACGATACGGTTTTGTTTGGAAAATCACCTGATATTTTACAACACACATGCAACAGTTACTTAATAAATTGTCAACATATTGTATAATATGGAATATTGAAGTAAACACTGACAAAACCAAAGTGATTGTATTTAGAAATGGCTGGCAGCAGGTTAAGAATATTTTTTTCTATGACAACAACGAACTTCAAATAGTTGATTTATATGTTTACCTCGGAATATCTGAATATTGTTGCATTCTAATGGCAAATTTCTACAAACAGAGAAACGTCTGGCTCAGCAAGGATCCAAAGCCTTATCATCACTAATGAATACTCTTAAAAATGTTTACATATCAACTGATCAATGTTGTATTTTATTTGACAGTATGGTTGGTTCCATTCATAGTTATGCATCAGAAATATGGAGCTTTTGTCGTGCTTGGGATATTGAATTAATTTATAACCGTTTTTATAGATTTTTTGTAAAGGTTGGTAAAAAAGGTACCTATCATTTTTCTGTGTGGTGAACTTCAGCATTTGCCTATCTACATTTCAAGGAGTATTAGAATTTATAAATATTGGTTATATTGAAAAAAAACATGTGTTGATTGCGATGATTACATGCCTCTATATAAAGATGTTAATAATGGTAAAACAAATTGGGTTTCTTGTGTACAGGATTTATTATCAAATCTTGGCCTAAACTTTGTTTGGATTTCACAGGATTTAACTAATGTAGTTTTTGATACTGTTAAAGATCGTATTACTGATCAATTTTTACAAGAGTGGTCAGCATCTTTATATGATTGTGAAAACTTTGTATGTATAGAAGAATCAAGACAGATTTTTGTCTTGAAAATTATTTTAATTTCTTTTGTGATGTTCGATTACTTAAAAAACAACGTAGTGGGACACTTCAATCAAATATTGAATTTGGTAGATATACCAATATTCCAAAAGAATCACGATTATGTCTTTGCTGTAACATGAACGTTGTTGAAGACGAATATCATTTTGTTTTAGTTTGTCCTGTTTACAGACCCGTAAGGTCACATTATTTACCAAACTACAACTGTTCATTCATTGCCAAATATTTATAAACTAGATCAACTGTTAAAAGCTGCCATTAAATCTCTGACATGTATATGCTTTTTGCAAATAAACTCTCGCAAATGCTGTATTCAGATTTTTGGGAAATCTGCACACAGATATGTGTACCAAGAACCATAACTCTGCACAAAATTATCAGACCGAAACAAAAATTTGAACTTGATCTGTAACTTGTTATGATAAAACTATATACCAATTATCAATCAATATCTTCAAGCATGATGAAAAAAAAGTGTGGAAAACACTCTAACATTAGATATGATTAATAGTTCTCTAAAATTAGATATGATATAATACAATGTATATTTATTTTCAAGTTATAATCAAATTTAATTAATAGTTCCAAATATTTTTTCTTTCATTTGTCACAAACTAATATAGATTTGTAACTTATCTATAAAATGTCAACAACTTTTATCTATACATAATGTAATGTAATGAAATATATACCTTAATAAAAATAGATTATTATCCTTCACTTCATAACTTTTTTTTATGTATATAGCATTCAGAAAATTAGTTTATACAAAATAAAAAACACTTCAAACAATTAACCAAAGAATGTCTTTCAAAAAATGAGTTATCTCTCACTGTACAGAAATATGGTTTAACATACACAATGTAGTACTCTAACATTAGATATGGACCATGATAACTCTGGACTAAATCATGAGACCAGAACAAAATTCGAACTTGATCTATAACTTGTCATGACAAAAATATATACCAAATATCAAATCATTATCTTCAAGAACGAAGAAAAAACGTGTGGAAAGCTGATTTGCCGGACTGACGGACGGACAGACGGACGGATGGAGTGCAAACTTAAAGTCCCCTTTGACTTCGTCGATAGGGGGCTAAAAAAGCCTTGCAATAATGTCTGAATTTACAGTACTGTCTTCAATAACAGAAAGTGTCTGCATCAAACATTGTCAAATGTGACAAAATGTCAAGCTATAAATCACTGAGCATTGAAATAAGTTGCAAATAACTTCAACAGAGACTCCCAAAGATTGGTCTTAAACACAACATTCTTTGAAAGACATACACATTATAACATAGAAAACTACTGCATTGGAATAGGCACATTACCATGTGGGTAGGTTAAACTACATTTTGAGTATTCCACCATACCCCCTTTTTTCTAGTTCAGTGAAAAAAAACAATGTAAAGAGAAGAACATCATTCTTCGTTAACATACCTCTGGTGCAAAAAGTTCTTCATATTTAGGGTTATACTTGACTTCCTTGGTTGTTGAATCTAAATGTCTGTTAACTTGGATATCATCCTGAAAAAGAAGATGAAAACATAACAATAATGGTCGCCATCGCAACATTTGAAAAGTCTAATACAAGTACATGTATATGTTGTAGTGTTATAGTTAAATTCAAAAACTAAAATTCTAATTTTTATCAGTTTGAAATTTGTCCTGTCCCATTTTTACCCATAACAGAAACATTGTATTAATTCACAAAAATTTTCTGAGACTGATCAAAAATATAAAGAAACATTCTATTTAGAATTAAAGTTTCTACAAATATTTATCTTAGAAGTATTAAAATCTGCTGTCCTTATTTTATACATTTTTCTTGTTTAATGAATAAGTTTAAATTACATGTATTATTAGCAATATAAAATAAACCTATCCTAAAAAAACAAAAATAACCATAGAAATATGATTTCTCATGTTAATGATTATTTACAGAATCATTATAAATAAAATGCTCCGCTGGGCGCAGCTTAATACAACCGCAGAGGTCCAACCCTGAACAGTTGGGGAAAAAATGGACACAATATTCAAGATTGATACAGGTCTGAATTTGGATTGTATTAAATATTTGACATATTATAGGTTTCTGAATAAATGTAGTCAAAGAACATGAAATTGGTTATATGAATTGAATTTATATTCAATTAAAGATTTCTTGTTGTTGTGCAATACACTGTGCTGTTGCGCAATACTTAGTAAATCTGTTGTCAGACTATAAACAATTAAAGTTCAATTAATTCTCAATGTCATATAAGAAATTTATGGAAATGTAAAGGGAGCTTACATCAATAGATATAAACAATTCACCAAAGTTTCATGAGAATTGCTAACAGCATTTTTGAGTTATTGTCTGAAAACTGGAAAACCCCCCCTTTTTTAATGAATAAAACCCCATAACTCAAAAATGTAAAATGTAAAATTTATAAAATTCTAAATGGAGCTTACATCAATAGATATAAACAATTCACCAAAGTTTCATAAGAACTGCTGAAAGCGTTTTTTATTTTTTGTCTGAAAACTGGAAAATCCCCCTTTTTTCATGAATAAAACCCTGTAACTTGGAAACGTAAAATCTAAAATATATAAAAATCGAAAGGGAGCTCATGTCAATAGATATAAACAATTCACCACAATTTCTTGCAAGTTGGTGAAAGCATTCTTGAGTTATTGTCCTAAAACTGGAAAATCCCCCTTTTTTTTAATGAATTAAACCCCACAACTCTGAAACATAAAATCTAAAATTTATAAAAAACAAAAGGGAGCTCACGTCAATAGATATAAACAATTCACCAAAGTTTTATGTAAATTGGTTAAAGCATTTTTGAGTTAATGTCCGACATGTTGACCACGGATGGACAGACGGACAATGGTATACCATAATACGTCCCGTAAATGGGCGTATAAAATTATTGGGACAACTATCATAACTATCCACTGCTTTATAAACCAGCAAAGAAATATAGCTTTTTTATTGTTGTTTTGACTCCCAATTAAAAAGTCAAGTAATTATGCAAATATGTGAATATGACATTACTAATGATATCTCCTACACTTGTAAGCTGTCATTGGTACAAGTTAATTGTTATTATATACCAGTAATGTATATATACAGGTTTTTTTACATGAGGAATTTACCTGGTGACAATATACAAGAATCTTTGTAACACTCTAATTCACACAATATCTAATAAACTAATAAATCAACTGCCACAATAAATGAAATAACTTACCAGAACTTTATAAAAATAGTACATGGATGCCCCACTCACACTATCATTTTCTATGTTCAGTGGACCGTGAAATTGGGGTCAAAAAACTAATTTGGCATTAAAATTAGAATGATCATATCATAGGGAACATGTGTACTAAGTTTCAAGTTGATTGGACTTCAACTTCATCAAAAACTACCTTGACCAAAAACTTTAACCTGAAGCGGGCACTATCATTTTCTATGTTCAGTGGATCATGAAATTGGGGGTCAAAACTCTAATTTGGCATTAGAATTAGAAAGATCATATCATAGTGAACATGTGTACTAAGTTTCAAGTTGATTGGACTTTAACCTTAAGCGGGACAGACGGATGGACAAAGGAACGGACGCACAGACCGAAAACACATAGTGCCCCTAGGTAGGGAATAAAAAGTCTATTTAGGTATTGTATCTAAAAGTAGACTTAGCAATTAGAAGAAAATCAAGCAAATACCATTAATATGCATGTCTAGTGCAAGTTTTCTTGCATGATTTAACAAAAGACAATTTTAAGATTATCATTTGACATCATAGACATGTTTGATTGCATATGACACATGTGTACATCTTACCACATGTGTACATTTTACCACATGTGTACATTTTACCACATGTGTACATTTTCCATGCCCTTTTGTATTTCAAATATTAAATAACAGTAATTTTTATTATCTTATTCAAATTTATAAATTTATTACAAATGCATCGAAGGGAAATAACTCTGCTAAAAAAGCATATACTGGAAAAGTAAAAATCAATGACTGACAATTTCATAGAAAATAATAAAATGCTTCGCTGGGCGCAGCTTGATACGACCGCAGAGGTCGAACCCTGAACAGTTGGGGCAAGTATGGACACAACATTCAAGCTTGATACAGCTCTGAATTTGGATTGTGATTAAATATTTGACACAGCATAGGTTTCTGACACAGAAAGAATGTGGTCTAAGAACTTCAATTTTTTTAATTTACCTATTATGGTCCAATGTCCAAAATCAAAATACATGGTTAGATTCAGCATATCAAAGAACCCCATATATTCAATTTTTGTTGAAATCAAACAAAGTTTAATTTTGGACCCCAACTTGGACAAACTTGAAAACTGGTCCCATAATCAAAAATCTAAACACATGTTTAGATTCAGCATATCAAAGTACCCCAAGAATTCTATTTTTGTTAAAATCAAACTAAGTTTAATTTTGGACCCTTTGGACCTTAATGTAGACCAATTTAAAAAACGGGACCCAAAATTAAAAATCTAAAAACACGGTTAGATTTGGCATATCAAAGAACCCCAATAATTCAATTTTTGATGAAATCAAACAAAGTTTAATTTTGGACCCTTTTGACCTCAATATGAACCAATTTGATAGCAGGCCCACAAAATAAAAAATCTAAATACATGGTAAGATTCAGCATATCAAAGAACCCCATATATTCAATTTTTGTTGAAATCAAACAAAGTTTAATTTTGGACCCCAATTTGGACCAACTTGAAAACTGGGCCAAAAATCTAAAATCTAAATAAATGTTTAGATTCAGCATATCAAAGAACCCCATATATTCAATTTTTGTTGAAATCAAACAAAGTTTAATTTTGGACCCCAACTTGGACCAACTTGAAAACTGGTCCCATAATCAATAAAATGCTTCGCTGGGGCGCAGCTTGATACGACCGCAGAGGTCGAACCCTGAACAGTTGGGGCAAGTATGGACACAACATTCAAGCTTGATACAGCTCTGAATTTGGATTGTTATTAAATATTTGACACAGCATAGGTTTCTGACACAGAAAGAATGTGGTCTAAGAACTTGATTTTTTTTAATTTACCTATTATGGTCCAATGTCCAAAATCAAAATACATGGTTAGATTCAGCATATCAAAGAACCCCATATATTCAATTTTTGTTAAAATCAAACAAAGTTTAATTTTGGACCCCAACTTGGACAAACTTGAAAACTGGGCCCATAATCAAAAATCTAAACACATGTTTAGATTCAGCAAATCAAAGAACCCCAAGAATTCAATTTTTGCTAAAATCAAACTAAGTTTAATTTTGGACCCTTTGGACATTAATGTAGACCAATTTGAAAACTGGACCCAAAATTAAAAATCTAAATACACTGTTAGATTCGGCATAACAAATAAATAAATGTGATCAAAGATTTTACAAATCTAATGCGCCATACTGTGCAATTAAATATTACTTCTTGAAATTTTTCAATATTTGAAATTTGAAAAAAAAATAATATTTGAAGAATAATTCTTTTTAATTTCTGAAATCTGAAATGAGAAAAAATTGGCCCCCCACAATTTCTTTTTATCCCCCCCCCCCTTTTTCCCCCAAAAAAATTCTTTCCCTCAAGATATGGTCATAATCTCAATTCAAATTTCCAATGGAGTTGGCAACCATAATTACCCATTTAAATTTACCATAGTGCTAACTTAATCTATTTTATTATAGAATTAATAAAAATATAGTGTCAAATCTTTCATATGGATTTTTTTGTAAAAAAAAAAGATGAAAACATTTGCAGATATTTTTACTGGTCTTCCTTTATAAATATGCATTTCTTTAAACATAATTTAAAAGCAGTGTAAGGGAAGTAACCAAAACGTTGTATTTGGATTACCTCCCTTACACTGTTTTAGATTATCTTTATTGTTCATTAACCATTACTTTATACATAATTTAAAAGCAGTGTAAGGGAGATAATTTCAATGATGTATTTGATTTATCTCCCTTACACTGCTTTAAATTATGTTTTGTACTAAAGTATTTGTCAATTAACCAGGACAACCTTGTTTTTCCCCCTTTTTTGCCCCTAATTCCTAAACAGTTTGAGCCATAACCCTCCAAAGCAAATCCTAACCATCCCTTTGTGGTATGGAAACTTGTAGTATAATTTCAGAGAGATCCATACACCGTTCCACAGTTATTGTCTGGAAACTAGAAAATGCTCATTTTTGGCCCCTTTTTGGCCCCTAATTCCTTAACAGTTGGTACCATAACCCCCAAAATCAATCCCAACCTTCCTTTTGTGGTATTTAACCTTATGGTAAAATTTCAAAAAGATCCATTCACTTAAACTAAAGTTAGAGTGCGAAAACCAATATGTATTCGGACGACGACGCCGGACGACGACGACGACGACGACGACGACGACGCCAACGTCATACCAATATACGACCACAAAATTTTTTTGCGGTCGTATAAAAATCTAAACACATGTTTAGATTCAGCATGTCAAAGAACCCCAAAAATTC